GGGGGGGGGCAAAGGGGGGCTGAAGCCCCCTTTCAGCAGAAAAACAAAACAAAACAATACTGAAGAATTATATTTTTCAAAATTGTTTTCCGTTGTGTTGACGGAAGAAACTCACTTAGCCCTCCCCTCCCCCAAACTCAATTAGCCCCCCCTAAAATTTTGGCTGGGTCTGCCCTTGTACCTGTCCCTCTTTCCTGGGAAGTGGTGCAAATGGGAATACTATTTTGTATATATAGGTGGTTCATCAACAAACGATACAAAAAATCCTCCACCCATGTACAGTCATTAATTCCCAAATGAGTTCCTGCTAGTCACTACAGGGGTGGAGCCAGGGGTGGTAAAAGGGGTGACTATAGTCACCCCCCTTTTGTTCAAATTTCTCAGTATATTGTTAGTAAAAGTAACCGCCTTTTCCTCAAATTCCTGCTACAGTAAAACCTTTGTGATAGTCACCCCCTTCTACGATTCCTGGATCTGTCCCTATATATATCAACCAAGTCTGCAAGTATGCATTGGTGGTACAGTACTGACATATACATCACTGCAGCAGTGAACTTACTGCAACATTGGTACAGTTTCTGATAGGTGCTTCCAATTGATGTAAGTTTGCAGGTTTGAAAGTCCATGGGACACAGGGACTCCATATATATCTCAAGCTACTATTGGTTGCTTCTGACTTACCACTGACATTGAATCTGAAGGTTAGAAATGAGTATCATATATAGAATTGTTATGCACATCAATCCCTTGATTGGATACTTGATATACTGATATATCTTGATATACTGTATGTTTTGAGAAACTCGGCCCCAGTCCCTTGATTATTTTGAATAATATTTTGGGCTTTGCAGACGAGCCTGAGGTTGAGAAGACTTAGTTTAGTCTAATCCAAGTAGTCGATCGAACATATAGATGCAAACAATTTGCAACAATTAAAGTTAAATTCAATGTTTTGGTTTTCAAAGCCGGCACTTTTCACTACTAGAAGGCTATTTATAGCCTATTAGTAGCTCATCCAATAGGAACGCAGCATAATTTTGATGATAGACGTACCACTAGTTGGATTTGGATAATCTTCGGCCTCATGGGCTATAATGTCTTATAGCCCATTAGGGCTTGAGGACTAAATGCTAAATATATTTTATTCTAATGCTATAAGGGTAGAGTTTATAGAACGAAAGTTCGAATTGAAGTAATGTTATTAAAATGAGCGTACATTAACGCATTGTTAGGTAGTATATATATATATATAGATAAGTAGTTGAAACACTCCAAACCTCCAACTCTGAAGACTCCATAGGTTGATAACACCTTCATCTGTAGCATATCGACAATTATCTATCTTAGAACACCACTTAACCGCAGAAACAACACTAAAACACACCACGCCAATGGCTACACGTAAGATACGCATCTTATTTAATATAATTAGTGATATAATTTATGTTAATGTATGCTAACTTTTATGTAACCTGGAGGAACGCCTGCTGTTTTTGATGCTTGGATGAACAGAAAAGAGCAGTTCGTGATATCTTCAGTTCTTATCTCATTTTTTTGCTAAAATAAGCTTTGAAATTTCTCCCGAGGAGCTTTATATGCAAGGCTTGGAGTACATAGAGTGTTCTTGAAATCGCTGGCTTGTTTTTTTCGAGACAATATTATCTAAATCTCGTGTTGTGGTGAATGGCTACCGCAAGTGACAATAACAATGGCGATGTGGTCGTAGATGTGGTTGTTATTGGGGCGGGAATTTCTGGTCTTTGTGCAGCTTACGATATTTTAAAAGCGAAAAAAAATGCCAAAGTTGTCATTTTGGAAGCTAAAGGTAATGTAATTTTTTTGTATTGATGTTGTTTTTAAAAATTTTTTTAAAAGGCCATTTAAAATTTATAGCTGAGATTTCCATGTTTTGATCCTATATAATTACGTACATGTTTGACAAGCTGAAGGTTTAGTTTTTTTAGAATAATACATAACTTACGTCAGAAGAAGATGAGGGAGTTCCATCTAGAGTTGACTTTTATCATGAAATTCATAGAATTTTGCTATACAGTTTGTCATTAAAGATTTATGAATCGTAATAGTTACATAAGTAATGCATCTTCATCAAAGTCATAATCATATTCCTATTTTATTTTCCCTATATCACATTAATTTCCTTAAGGTGAGCTATATATTTTTAGTTGTAAATGTAGCAATTACTCATAAACTGAACTTGTGAAAAAAATTACAAGCTGTGATGTTTATGTCAGCTTTAATCTGGGCTATGTTTAAATTTGCCAATACTTCTTTTTACATTTTCCATTCAATGACCACGAATAATAGTTCCAAGTTGAGGCTGGAGTTTCTGCTCAAAACTATATAGTCTTTCATACGTTGGAACTCCAACTTTGACTTGGAACTATTATTATATTTGTGTTCACTGAACGGAATTAACTGTAAAATGGAGCATTATGATGTACCTTTATTTGTAAAAGGTTTTCATTTGGTATTTTGTTTTTCTCTAGATCGAGTAGGAGGGAGATTAGACTCAAGAAAGCTGCAATCTGCCAATGGAGTTGACACATGGGATCTTGGTGGTCAATGGGTAGGAAGGTAATTATATAAGATGGCATCAAAAAACAGCTTTGAGCAACAACAGAGATGGGCCCACAGCCCCTTCAAACCCACAACCACCCCACTCCCCGATAAAAAATGAATGGTCCGTAATTTACAATTGTGTTCTGTTCTAGTGGTCAAAAAGACATCATGGCTTTAATAGAAGAACTAGGAATGGAAACATACAAGCAGTGGTACGATGGTGAGAAACTGATCCAGTTGAGTGATGGGAACTTGAAGAAGTATGCTGGTGTCATTCCATCTGTGTCATACCTATCCTTACTTGACATCTACCTTTTGAACAATAAAGTAAGTTTTGTTAACCAAATTGGTTATTAAGTAGCTGCATTGTTGGCCAAGGGTAGCATATTATTTATAGTAGTACTATAGTGCTCTAGGGTATCAGGTGGGATCCCTAAAGCCTAATGTTTATAGAGTATAGGATGTTATGATAATAACAAATAACCCTTTGCCAAGTGTAATGATTATTATAATGCTTAGATATTTCAATGTTTGTTTGTCAGATAGAGAAGATGTGCTCTCAGGTACCTCTAGATGATCCCGGAAAATGTCCACATGCAGATGAATGGGATGGCATGACCGTGGAGTCTTGGGCAAAACAAAGTGCATGGAGCCAAGGTTTATATAATAATGATAATAATAGGTCTCTTTATCTTGGGTGTAATGTTTTCCCATTTCCAATCCCAGGCTAGTTATTCTCTTGAGAATCAGATTCTCTACTTTAGATGCAATTGTATTCATGCTCAGGTGTCTTTTCTCATGTGCCATTGTTAAACAAAGAAATAATGCTCTAGGGAATGACACTTGGTCTGAAATTGGTCAAACATTACCCTCAAAACATTACCCACAGCTAACAAGGCCTATTATAGGCCTTTTTAATAAATCCCACAATGCAAAATCAAAATGAATTTGGCCAAGAAAATCCAACTTAAAGTTTATGCAAATGAACACAGTTTTGTATCATATTTACAACACTCTTCACGGTCATGATTTCTGTTGTGTTTTCCTCATTTATTATTCATGAGTTTGATAATAGGATTTACAGTATAATCAACCCAAATTCTGTTCTTATGAGAAAAGTTTAAATTTGTTTCCAATATTTAATTTAATTCTATTGCAGCAAGTATTGAAATGATTGAAATAGCAGTTGGTTGTGTTTTTGGTGTGACTATGGCTCAAATGTCACTGCTCTACTTCTTACATTACATCAATAGTTGTGGAGGATGGAGTGTGTTAGTAGAATCTGGAATGAAGGGTGGTGCACAAGAGTTCAAGATTAAGGTATGTTTCATGGAGTATTAGCTAATAATAATAAATAATACTGATAATAATAATAATGATAATAATAATAATGATAATAATTTCTTTTTGTTATGACAAACAAAGCCAAAACCTACACATAAAGCATATCATATAAACACTGACATGATTTGTTTTTGAAGCTCAGATGTTTTTTAAGAAAAAATAGCTTTCCATCTCTAATGCTTTGTATTGGTTGATTTAAGGATGGTGCACATAACATAACTTTGGTTTTGGCAGAAAGAATTGGATGGAAAAGAATAAGACTTTGTCAACCAGTTGCATCAGTCAATCAGGTAACTTGAACTAGTTATTGACTGCTTACTGTGAGTCATCACAGCTACATGTTCTTCTCACAATAGACCTTTTGATAGTTCAATAAGCAAGGTGTATATTTGTCAAACCTTAGTGTAAACAACATTGACAGTATACTGCATGATGGTCACAAACAAGTATACCCAATGTAGACCAGAATGCACCTTGTTTGTGTAAGGCATGATGGACAATAGATGTTTGTACCCAAGTTAGACCAGAATGCACTGTGCTTGGGTATTGCATTTGTAATGACCAATAGATATTAGTACCCAACGTAGACCAGAATGCACCTAGCTTGTGTAATGCATGATGGGCAATATATGTTTGTACCCAAGTGTCAATGTTTTAATGCATGATGGAAAATACTATGTTTGTACCCAAGTTAGACCAAAATGCACCTTGCTTATTGGACTCAGAAAATGTCACTATAATAATGGACTTATTATTCACTTCAAATGATGGGGGTCATCATCATTACTACCAGTATAATTGTCATCATCATTACCACTACTGCCAAGGGATATAATAACTATACTATATAATAATTTTGTTAGAAAAACTATGTATTATTATAGACCACAGATAACACAGTCGTAAGAACATGCAAGGGTGAGAGTTATGTGGCCAAGTATGTCATCCTAGCTATACCACCACGTTTGGCAAGTAAGACAGTCTTTCCTAAATCTTTTTTGTTTTTCCTTTCAATTTAATTTTTCCCCTTTTCTTACAATTTTTATTGCCTCATTTATCAACTTTAACATTTATTTTCTTTTATTGCTTATTTCTTGATTTACAATATCAATACTTTGTCTTTTCCAAAAACTAGCAATTTGTTTCTAATAGACAGAATAGAGTTTACTCCAAGACTGCCATACAACAAGCAGAGAGCCATAGAAAACCTGATTCCTTCTCACCTAACAAAGTTTATTGTTACCTATCGCACTGCATTTTGGCGTAAGAATGGACTTTCGGGTGAAGCAGCTCATTTTATGGGAAAGCATTATTGTGAGGAAAATCCTGTGGCTTTGACTTTTGATGCTTCAACCAGCACCGGAAGCCCAGCTATTCTTGGGTTCATCCCATCTTATGCCGCTGCAATATGGAGTGAAAAACCTGTAAGTCAATTATAAGCACCAGTTACTAGTAAGATCAGTGTTGATCGAAAAGATTAATGATGCTTTTATTGCATGTTCTGATGTTGGCTGCTACTGGTGCTGATCAGGTCTCAAAATAATTTCCACAGTCATGATCAACAGGCAATAACTGGCCAAAAGAGACACTTGTGCAAACATACAACTCTTGTTTTACAAGGGTAGCACATAATAGCTAGTGGCTAACAAACCTGTGGCCCTTATTCCATAATTGAATTGGAATTTAGCAGTTGATCTTTGCGGAGAGGGGAAACCCAGAGAACCCGAGAAAAAACCCTAAAGCTTGGGAAAGAACCAACTAGAAACTTTACTGACATATGACTGTGAGCCTGCCACTAGGACTTGAACCTGAGCTGCATTGATGAGCGACCAGCTCTCTTACCCACTAGGCCACCTGTGCTTCCCATCCTTCCCATCCCATACGTCAGAACAGTCCTGTCCTCTTGACTTGTCACACTGATTGGTCACATGTTGATCTTTCTGATGATGCACTGGTCATCATGTCAGGTTATTGAGCAGCTGTCTTTTTTAGCCAGTTGAGGAAAAACGTACCTCAAAAAGTGTTATTTTGTTATCCATTCTTCTAAGCATTAGGAACGTTTTTGTATGCATATGACTGTGAAAAGCTCAGTGCTGTTACTGGCCTTGTAATGTGATTGGTCTGGGATATGCCTTACTGTGTTATGACTGGGTTCATGCCACAAGCTGTGCATGCATGCATGAAACAAGTGGATGTTTGAACTCTCTAGTTATATCTTATATTTTGCGCTGCTAATGCACCACCTCTCACCAATGCCACCTGAGTTTGAGCTTTGCCGTGTGTGGTTTCGTATGTGAGTAGAGTTGTTAGTTGGTTCTCTCCTATGTTTGGGGGTTCTCCGGGTTCTCTGGTTTTCCTCCCTCCTCTAAAATCAACTACTAAATTCCAATTCGATCTTTGGGCTTTCACCTAGCATGAATCTAATGGTTCTGTTTGTGATTGTCCGCTCTATTATTACAGACAAAACTGGTAGATATTTATTTTATTTTTAGGAAGATGAAAAGAAAGCTGCCATAATCAAAACTCTCACCAAATACTTTGGCCCTGAAGCAGAAACTCCTTTGGACTGTGCTATAAAGGTGCATCTATCTATTTGTTTGTTTATCCATCCATCCTTGCACTTGTTTTTCCATCCATTAATTTTGTTGTCCATCCTTCTATCTCTTCATCCATCCCTTCATCCAACTATCCATCCATCCATCTGTCTGTCTATACATGAACCATCCCTCTAGCTTTGCATTATCCCTTCAGACATTTAGCTGTTTGTTCAACAACTTCATCAACCCTCCTATCTATATATATCTACTCAGGCATCCATTATAACATTTTTAACCTGGTTTCCTTCAGGACTGGTCACATGAGGAGTGGAATGGAGGATGCCCTGTAGATATCATGGTTCCTGGTGCTATTACTAACTATGGTGACTGTCTTCATGAACCATTCCAAAGGTTAGCAAACTTACATATGAGCAATAGAGCAGTTTTTGCATTTAGTGGGAAATGATATGGTAGCTATAGCAGTACTACTGTGTAAGTTGTGATTGAATGATTGGATCAAATACACTGGTCCTTTCTAGATGAATTGAGAACAGGTTTTGAGCCATACCAATTTGAACATTTCTGAATGGAAAGGTTCTATTAGAAAATGTTTTCAAGGCATTCAAATTTAAATGTTTGTTCTTGGAAAACCTGTAGTGAGAAAGAATTTTTAAATTTTTTGGATGAACATTTTTTTTGAGACATGAATTAGAACTAAAAACTTAGGTCCAGAATGTAGTAACAAGACATTTTTAAACATAAATAACACTTATGTGGGGGGTCCAGGGGTGGTGACTTGTCCGTCCCATTTTCCACAAAAATAAAATTTCACTCCACTTACTTCTTGAAAGCTCTCAATTTGAGATGCATTGCATTTTTCTACCTTTTATGGGTTTCCTGTGGTACTGGCATAAGGTCAGGCACCTGTCTTTTAAAAACCTTGGATCCACCTGATCCTTTAGTGTTTAGGTTGAACCATTTTACTTAAGCTGTTTACTTTCATTTAAGGCTTCACTGGGCAGGAACAGAAAGTTCATCTGTTCACAGAGGATACATGAGTGGAGCAGTGAATTCAGGTCACAGAGCTGCAAGTGAAGTACTTAAAAGACTGACATCTGACATCTGATTCTACGTTATGGCATGTTAATAACTTGACAGTTAAATTCAATGATCATTGGACAGTCATTTATTGCAACAGCTGTTTGTTTCTCCTGGCCTTTTGTTGTGCACAAATCTCCCCTCTCTTCAACCATAAGATAACAATTAATATGAAACCCTTTTTTCCAAGACTTGGCCTACCTCAATGGCTATTATTATATGACAATTAGACAGCAACTGAATGACTGACAGATGGTCATTATGACTGTCAACATGTGAGCTTTAAATGATTTGTTTTGAATCGTGGGATTGTAACATTTGGGGGGGGGGGGGGTGAACCAGATAGGTGCCGTTACTGATAGACCAATAGTAAGAAACCAATTAATGCAAAATGCAGGGCTTTAAACTAGACATAAACATTCTAATAATGTGATTGGTTAAGAGCAGTGCTGTTAACCAATAACTCAGCTGAAAAAAGTAAATTGCCCTGCAGTGTAAATGTGTAAATGATTTTTTATGAGTAATCATATGGTTTCTCATTCAATTTGAAATTAATTTTCACTTGGTTTTTTCAAAGAGCTTGATGTGCTATTTTGAAGTTCTTTAAAGACCTACTCATGCACATTTATTGCACTTGAAACCGTATCATTACCTATACTTATATACTTAAGTATATCAAAGTAATTTTAATTTCTTTTTATATGTTCAAAAATATCACACATGCACTGAATAAGTTGCTCATCACATAAGTACCGTGGAAATTCCGGGCAGGTATAAAATATGGGGGAAATATGATTATTTAAAGGAGTACGGAATTTGTAAATGGTTAATTTGGAGCTTGGTGTCTTATACTTGCCAAATAATACAATTAATTTATGATCACGCTTTATAATATTATAGTTTAGTTATTTTTATATCAAATGATATTTTAGTTTTTGTAGATTAAAGTTAATTGTAACTTATGATATATATTATATGAGGCTAAAGATATAGAAATAATTGCTTGCTGTGCAGTCTTGGGAGTTTCTCCTTCCCTTATTTACAGAGATAGAGTACCATTAGCCTCGTACTGTACACAGACGTTCTTAGGCCAGATCATCACGCAAGGAGAGAAACAACCCTAATAACGTCTGGGAGAAACCTTCTCTTTCATCTGGCAAATAATCATGGCAGTTTGAAGGCACGTTAGCAGGTTTAAGCTAAAACTATAAAATAATTCAGCTTTTGATCTGGTTTTTTTTTTTTTTTTTGTGATTAAGGTTTTTAAACGAAACCATTTTTGTTTGAAAAATATATTAATATGCAAAAAGTGTAAATCTGTTTGGACTACAGCAAATGCTAGACATCTTTTGCTTTAAATAGATTTTTAAAAATTGAGAAAATTATGAAAAGTAATTATGCAAAGATTATGATTAACATTAATGAAAAAATAGTTTAATTAATATTGGCAATGGCAAGTTTAGGACTTAATTGAATTGAATTAATTATAAAATTATACACATCCATAACATTTGAAATTTTTTATTGTTTAATAAAATACCGGTAAAGAAACAAATAAATCAGAATTGTTTGTCAATAATAAACATTTTATTCATCACAGTAAATAAGAAATATTATGACACACACACTTAATGTATACTAACTAGCTTGATCAATAACATTTACCTTTTTCCCAAATTTGTCACAGTTCTACATGATCTAGTATATAGAGTCGAAGGCATAGGGTCCGATATAAGTAATGGTTCTAGAATGGGGTTGATGTGAACTAGCTTTACCCTTAGGCAATAATAACAGTAAATTAACACAAGCAATAAACCATACAGTCAATGACTGATATATTAATATAAAGTGTTTGTCAGCTAGGTTTATGACTGTATATTATCAGGATTTAACTCAGTAATATGGCAACTTAAACAGGTATTTAGTTAAAAACTGTTGCTAATTTTGGGAATGTAGTTACTGCACACCTAGTTGAGTATAAGACAGAATCCTTTTTTTTTTTTTGCACTTGCATTACAGTCTTCTGTTATATAAATTCTTCTTTATATAATAACATGGTTAATGGTGATCAACCCTACTTTACGTTGCTGTTAGTATGTAAAGTAGGATCAAATCTTGTTAAATTAATTCAAACAAAAATTCCACAGTAAATCACAAAACTATTGTATTACCACAAGTATCTAGACTTTGCTCGTCACTACTTTCAATGTTCTCATGTTTGCCAGGGTACCTTTGCCAGTATAACTTGTTCCACATCTTCAAAGGTTGATATGAAAGTCAGTCAAGCCTTTGAACAATAAATACTTGACATACATTGCCTCGTACAGACAACATCCCAGCAATAAACTCTTTCAGAGAGGTACAGTATGCACATTCTTCTTGTAACAGAGTTGATGTTACCCAGTAGATATAAGACTTTCTTGTTTTATGAGATGAATCTGAACCTGATATTTTGTCTGTCAATGTACAGAGTTATTCAACATTGAACATTAACAGAGAAAGATATAAGATGGTTGTGATCCAGCACTTTAGTTGTGAAAATACATGTAGCTTGCAAAAGAACAGCTTATGTGTGAGCTGTTTGCCAATGATGTTCAATACTATTATTATTAAGCACACTTATTTCCATAATTTCTTGATTGACATGTTCTTCTCTGAATCTTTCTGCATAACCTGCAAAAAAATAAATGAAATATCTTCAATTTAAAGTAGCTGTTGAAATGGTTATCACAGTTTTGAGTTCAGTCAGGGCTAAATAACTGGCTGGTCAGTCACTGGTCATAATCACCAGCCAAATTAGATTTAGCTCCATAATACCAACCAATCAGTTAACTTTATTTATCCACAGTAAATGACTCAGTAAACTGATTTTCAGACATGCCATGCTACCTTGTGTCTGACTGAAAGATTTGATCAGACAAGGTCAAATTCTGATCAGCCATTATTGTAATACCTCAGTTCTGATGGCTTGGTTTAGACAATACCCTGAAACAACCTCTGGGCTGATCAAAGTCAACACATGGCTAGTTCACAGCTCAAAATTTACAACTGTAGCTTCTTAGGTTTTTCTTGAGAGGAAACCCAGGGAAAACCCCTAGAATCAGGGATAGACCCAACATATCCTTTACACCAGCTTTGCTGGATGGAGCTACCAAAGTTAGCATTAAAATGATGCATGGAAAATAGTCAACCCAAAGAATGTACCTTAGTAACTGCCATCTCAAAGTCTTCCTGGGTGACATGGACACGCCTTTCTCTTAGTGCATACATACCAGCTTCCGTACATACTCCCTATCATTAATCAAATAATGAGGGTCAACATATGTTAATAATCGTAAAGAATAATATCTAGGTTAGCTAAATAATGGTAGCAAGCAGGTACCTTGATTTCGGCACCAGATGCTCCAGGCATCAGCTCAGCTATTTTCTTCAGATTGATCCCTCTTGTCAAGTTCATTTTCCTGGAATGGATCTTCAAGATGTCTTGTCTGGCCTAATAAAAACACACAGCTTGTTTTAATCAACAAAGACAAACAATTTGTCAAGGATTATTCACAAGGATTATTCAGAGGAATGCATGGTCTTCATGCATTTTACACAAAAGCAAAAAGAATGTGTTCTATCAGCTGAAATGCACAAGTTATGTACACACCTCCTCATTTGGTGGTGGGAACTCTATTTTTCTGTCAATACGACCAGGTCGGAGTAAGGCAGAGTCCAGGATATCTATTCTGTTGGTAGCCATGATAACCTTGATGTCCTTTGTGGCTTCAAAACCATCCAGCTGGTTCAATAACTCCAACATAGTTCTTTGTACTTCACTGTCACCTAAAAATAACATTATTTACAAACACCTCAATTGATAATAATTCAAGCAAAGTACAAGAAATGGTTTGAGCCTGGGAATGAAACGTGTGTTATCAAGGCCAAGAAAGCCAGTGCCCTGTAGCATATGCTGGTAAGTTAAAGTTTTGAAAGGGGAACTGGTGTTTGGATAGACTCTTAGACTTTACAGCATAGAGCCTTTGAAATAAATGAATTCATCAGAAGAAAATGAGAATCAACTAACCTCCTGAACCACCTTCTAATCTAGATGAACCAATGGAGTCAATTTCATCCATAAAGATTATGGATGGTGCATGCTCCCTAGAAATAATTTGCAATAAAGTCAATAACCAATACTTATGAATACATACATATATATACCAATAATGTAGTTGTGATTCCAGTTGAGGGTAAAACAACAGTTCCATAATAATATGATATGCTATAAAACATAGTTACGTTACCTTGCCATTACAAACAGTTCACGGACCATTCTTGCACCCTCTCCAATAAATTTCTGCACAAGTTCTGAGCCAGAAACTCTGATAAAGGTACATTCTGTATGATGAGCCACAGCACGTGCCAGAAGGGTCTTTCCTGTACCAGGGGGACCATACAGTAGCACACCCTAGATAGTAAGGTAGCACATGGTTCAGATATTGCATATAGAAATAATTCCACTAGTCAAGGACATGGGACACAATGCAATATACTTGTAATCTGAATATGCATGATTATTACATAAACATAATTTGACTTTCAGTGGCACTATGGACCTTGATCATGCATGTTCATTCCCATGCGAATAAAAACCTTTGTTTACCCATGCATTATCTCATCCTTTAATCTAAGGCCACACAGGGGAAATCTGTTTTTCTAGTCAACATGGCTGCCACATGATAAAGGCCCATTGGCGGCATACTGTAAGAAGCTGCCATCTTGCATTGCAAGACAAACTACAAGCAAGTTACATGAATTTCAACTCACTTTAGGCTGGTCAATTCCAAGAGCTTCAAACAATTCAGGATGTTTCACAGGTAACTCAATCACCTGGAACACAAGTACAAATATCGGTAATGCATTAGGTATACTCTTTTTTATTTCAGGATCATCACTGAAGCAATATTGTCTTGACAATGCACATTACCTCTTTGATTTCTTTAATTTGTTTGTCTAGACCTCCAACCATTTCATATGTAGAATCAGGCACTTTTTCAACCATCATGAGACTCACCAATGGATCAACCTGATGCAAAACATTCAATTAAAACTTTTACACTAAACTTTTCAAGTAGTTATAAAATTCAGTTACATGATATCAATCAACTTACTTTGTTAGGAAGGATCTTGTGAAGTGTGTAACTGTCATTTCTGAGGGCAACTCTGCAGTTTGGTGTCACCTTTGAATACAAGAAATTAAAACAATTTAACTACTATACATGCATATATGTATGCAGAAAACTGCCTGTCATCAAACATGGCTGCTAAAGGGAGGCACTTTACTGTAGTTAGAGAATATGTATAAAGTTGCGTTAACTTACATCTGACATCTCAATTCCTTTATCAATGTCCACCACAAACTTGCCTTCTGGATGAACCTATGGGATGCAATTTGAYGAGCATCATAATTAGATATATCATTGTAAATATTAGCTGATACATGTATTTTGTTGTTGTACAACATACCTTGACAAGAACTTTTTTCTTATCCATAGGTTTGACAACCTCACCAACATAGGAACCCTGTTCTTGAAGTAACTGAAGCTCCTCTCTCAACATCCTCACTGATGAACAACACATGAATAAAGGCCATATGTCAGCTAAAGTCAGAATAAACAGTGTTCTCCCATGTAAAAAAATCTTACCTTTAGCATTTAATTCATTTCTTTGAGCTTCCAGTCGCCTTAAATTCTTAACCCTTTCTGAAACAACAAGCTAAGAACATCCCAAATATTTAAATTATTGTGTATATATAATATACTCTTTAAAACATAAACATGTATAGTAGATTTCGTAGTAACGGTAACATAATAACCATAGCTCAGCTCAGATGCCATACCAACATTAGACAACATTGGTTGTGTACTGTAAATGCGTCACCTCTAACCACTATCTTTATATACTATAGGTGTCCATAAGGTTTTCCAACAGGTTACATATCTAGTGTTCCATCTTTTACATTTATTAATCAACTAAATTCAATTATTCAGTTACCTGGAGTTCCTCAATCTTTGTTACATAATATTGCTGAATTCCTTCATGTTGTTTCTCTTCAGGTACTTCCATCTAAAACAATATAATATAATCCATATGTCATGTTGCATTCATTCAATGTTATACTCCTTATACTCTCAATGACCTGCGCCAATTTTTGATCAAATGAAAATAGTGTCATTATGACATAGCCATGATATAACAACCAGAATAAAGTTAAGCTTTTGTACAATTCTGGAACCTTACACCAAGTTAATAGCTAATGGTACAATATCTTACTACAAAATTGTTACAGACAAGTAAAAGCAATGGGTGGCCTTCTCATTTCAGGGTTCATTTTGACACAAATGCTTTGTTTTAAAGAGATAGGGTTATGTGAACTAGCTCTAAACTTAAACATTTTGTACCATTCAGTACTATATCTTTCCCACTAATTTGAAAACTGGTTTGTGCTTAAAGCTTACTTTGCTTCCTACTAAATTTTAGAATTCATGTTGTACTAATAACTTAATCCTCAATTTACATCTAAGACAATAAGCTATTCATATTCATTGTTAAGCTAAATTATGGGAGATTTTAGCAACAAGTTGGTCTGTAAGGAGAAAATAGGTAGAAGAATCGAAAGCTATATGAACCAAACAATGCACGACTATGGGGCTAGTAAAACTAGTACTTCCACTTTAAAAACATCAAATAAACATTAACGCAATGGTTAATTAATAAATAAGATCAAAGTCAATAAGTTAAATGGAAGATAAAATTGTTGAATTCAAAGCACATTTCTTTGTACTAAATACGAAAATCTTAAGCAAGAAACAGGCCACTGTCAAAACTCTGTAAAATATGTCCAACAAATTCTCAAAGACTTCATTGGAGCATTAAATTATGATAACAAACTGTCTCTTAATTATTTTTCAAAGGACGAACATTGAATGATGTCTAGAAAACACAGGCGTTTCTAAGAAAAAAATTTCCATTCAAGCGAAATAACTCCATGTCGTCACGAGAAGAAATGACGCCTATAACAAAAAAGCTAAAAAACATAATACAAATTAAAATACTCAGAAAGATAGTCTTACCACTTCTTGTTTGAGTTCTTTGTTTCTCGGGGTTCTTCCTTCTTTTTTCATAGTATTTGTTTGAGTAGGGAACTGCATTACAGCCATGCCGGCCGCCATCTTGGAATGACTCGGTAAAAACTGACACCTTCCCAGCATGCAACTCACCATTGACGACGAACATAACCAGGGCATCATGGGAAATAATACCAACCACAGGCAGCCCAACCAGATGAAGATGATTAACTCCTTTTCTATCGACATGTATCGAGTAATTGATATGTTAAGATGATGTGAGAAAATAGATAGCGTTCTATTGCGTTTTTGATTTTTGAATTTTAAATTATTTTGTGCGAACTTTGGATCCACCATTTTTTTTCGGCAATTACTTTTTTAAGATGGCAATATTCAAACAAAGCAACTGCAACGTATCATCAATAAAAAATAACAGCATCCTCTAAAATATTTGCAACATTCAATTATATTTTATTTGATCCGTCTTAACAGTCTCAAACCCTAAAATTCTACAGTAAAATCGCTCAACCAGCGGTTTAAGAGCGACTGTCCACTAATATCGAGCAAGGTGCGGCAACAGTGAAAAATCGATTTTCTTTATTTTTGGTCCAGAGTTAGGTATTAGTGAGTAAGTAAACGTGGTGGGTTTTATTTCTTCAAAAAAAAAATTATCGCTGAGAAAAATCGAAAAACCGGTCCGTCGGATCTCGGGCTCAAGACGGCTAGAAATGAAAGCCATTTTAGGGGTGTCTTTAACGTTATCCTGTAAAGTCGCAACACATTTTTCAACCTTTTAAAATTGAGATATTCGTTCTTCAACTATTCTTGAACATTTTCAAGCAATTTTAGGCTCATGGGTTAATTATTTATTTTTTTAGAGGTCCGTCAAACTCGCTATAATTTCCGTCTTCAACAACTTCGCTCCGGCACACAATTTCAAAAAATACATTCTACATGTGGTATAATTCAGAATCTTTCAAAACTTCGGATTCTAAGCAARTTAATATGGATCTTAAAAGTTCCATCAAAATTAGTTTGGGGAAATTTCCACAGCGGTCCAAACAAGCGATTGAATAATGCTGGTTTTTAGAAGAATCCGCCCCGTGACTTGAAAACATCGTGTTTGGAGCCTTTGAAATTAGGGCAAAAATCAGTCTATAATTTTGCTAAAACGGACAGGTTTTAATTTCCAACGACTTTCTAAGTGTTTCTTTGAGTGAACTTCAAAATATCAAAGCTTAAGAATCGAGATTTCCTTTTATTTACTTTGAGTGAGAACTACCCAGTTTCTAATTAGCATAGTGCTTTCAACGAGTAGATTTCAAAATATGTTTTTTGATCTGAAAACACTCCTACAATTCGACTAATTTCAAAGCAATATTACAGAAAGACGCTTCCTACTTGCTTTACATGTTTTCTTGCTGGTTCTAAACAGTTTTACTTCCATTTTTAGAAACTGAGTTGTAATACGTTATCGGAACTTGGGATCAGTACTATTGATTGCGTGACCTATCGTCCCGTGGGGGGAAGGAGTAGGTGTGAAAAGCTAAATATAGGCCTACATATTTTTTGCTGGTTTTCATGGTTGGCCGGTGTTTTCATAGTTGGCCGGTGTTTTCTTGGTTCGCCGGTGTTTTCTTGGTTGGGCGGTCTTAACTTTCTTGTTGGCCGACCAAGAAAACCAGCAACTCCATTTTGAGTTCTACATATAAAATTAAACCAAATCGGTGCGGTTTTCCTCGTTTCTAATTCATTCCATCCAAAGAGAGTAATAAATAGTAACTGCCGAATATTCTGCCATTAAACCTGACATTCGCTGTTTGCATAAAGGGCTATAATCTTGTTTGTATATGGCTTCTCATTGCGCTTGAACTGAACATCTGTGGTGTCAATACCAAAATGGTGGCATATTTGCTTCAACATTGCGATGGCAAAAGTCTCCAGTTTTGACTTTGATGCCAAATCACAATTGTAATATGTTGGAAGACCAGTGGGTGCTTTACGGACGGCTTTACGAATTCTTCAATCTCAAGTACTGATGAATGGCGTTTTCCAGTTCGTCAGGGGTATAATCATCGACATCGTCCTTTGGATCTGGACTTGGAAGCTTCTTCTTTTTAGCTACGCGTGGTGATGCTTGCTTGTCAAGAATTCGTCGCTGTTGAACAGTCCATTGCCGTTGATGTGCTTTGCTGTCATCATGGCTCTAGCAACTGACAAGTCTTTCTGCTTTTGGAAGAATCTTTTTTTACCTTCTAGTGAAGATCTTAGGGGCCATCCCATTGGCAAGGTTTCTTTCTTGTTTTGTGCTGTCGTTCTTCTGTATACTGGCATCTAAATGGGGGATCCCAATGAACTGTCCTTCCAATTTTTCTGCGTAACAGTGTCGCAAAAATGGTCTCCCGCTCAAAGCAAAATGGTGTTTTCCACAATCTAGATACTGTTCAAGATAAGAATGTCTCCAGAACATCATCGTACACCCTTCTTCAGGACAGGTAAACAGTGCACTTGGCTCTCTAGCTTCTGTCGTTATTACTGATTCAACGGATTTGGGAGTTTTAGATTTGATCTGTGTAAATTGACTATCACTGGTTTCAATCAACGTCAGGGATGGTATCTGTGACTCGGTAGGTAGTTGTAGATCTTTGGATGATAGAAGTTTACCTGGTCCAATTCAGTATGCCTTCCAGATACGAATCCCATCTTCACTATACTCTACTTTACATAGATGAGAATATGTGGACCACGTAGCGCTTATGAAATACATGAAGATATAGAAATAAAGATAAGTTATAGTGCTTGCGAACGAGGTTATTCCGGGCGAAAGCCCTTGGAATTAAATTCGGAAAAATTAATTTCCGACCTCGCTGGGAATCGAACCCACATATTTGACTGACACCATCCAGTTTCAATATTGGCATATCTGGGACGACGGGGGGTCCAGAGAGGGTGACGCCCACAGCAGGAATTCCGTCTGACGATAAGATGTTTTTTATATGCTCAGGAGAAATGTTATCATTGCCTTCATTGAGATGGATTCTTATATGGGACTTGATGGTAGCAGCCTTTCTATTACAGGCTCCCTATCCTCCCTGTCGATCTGAGAAGTCCATGCGCTTGATTGCAACACCATGGCAACGGCCTAATAATGATTTTGCATAAAAAATGCTCGGACCGTTGCGATTGCATCCAGGGCGTAGTCCTGACGGCTGGTAAGAAACTTAGCATAGTTTGGGCATGATGACCATAAGCCTTTCAATGACATCTGACATGATAGCTAGAATGACAACGTATTCCCGACTGCATGACTCAAAGATGTGACCATCTAATTGACCATCTTTGCCTCGTTTAGCCAGGTATTTTTGAGCACATCATGACAAGTAGGAATTGACAATTTCAGTAATTTTTTCTTAATATTCCCCATTCTTGGGTTTATTATTTGCCATGTAATTCAAGATGCAAGATCTTCAAATTAGAAATTAGCCTCAGGTATCAGCAAGATAGCCAAGTGCTTTTTTTTCCCCCTTCTTTTCTTATTATATAGTCTCATATACACCTGGTTGCGGGAGGGTCGTCGTGTGGGGGGGGGTAGGGGGTGGGTGGGGGGTTGGAGGGGGTATTGATGGTTTGGCGGGGAGGGGATTTGATATGTATATATATTTTACTATTATTCATAATATTATTCTATCTTGTATATATTTTAACGAGGGCCACCTGAAAATTATCATTTATGGTAACGGTGTTGCCCTGTCTAATAAAGTTGTTATTGTCATTATTATTATTATTATTATTATTATTATTATTATCATTATTATTATTATTAAGTAACTAAAATGCTATGGTACATTTTCGTTCAATATATTTGTCAGGCCAACAACTTCGTAGTCAGTTTGTTATTGCTTCCCAAATCGAATCAAAACCTGTAAGCCCGCTATATTTAGCTTTTCACACCTACTCCTTCCCCCCACGGGACGATAGGTCACGCAATCAATAGTACTGATCCCAAGTTCCGATAACGTATTACAACTCAGTTTCTAAAAATGGAAGTAAAACTGTTTAGAACCAGCAAGAAAACATGTAAAGCAAGTAGGAAGCGTCTTTCTGTAATATTGCTTTGAAATTAGTCGAATTGTAGGAGTGTTTTCAGATCAAAAAACATATTTTGAAATCTACTCGTTGAAAGCACTATGCTAATTAGAAACTGGGTAGTTCTCACTCAAAGTAAATAAAAGGAAATCTCGATTCTTAAGCTTTGATATTTTGAAGTTCACTCAAAGAAACACTTAGAAAGTCGTTGGAAATTAAAACCTGTCCGTTTTAGCAAAATTATAGACTGATTTTTGCCCTAATTTCAAAGGCTCCAAACACGATGTTTTCAAGTCACGGGGCGGATTCTTCTAAAAACCAGCATTATTCAATCGCTTGTTTGGACCGCTGTGGAAATTTCCCCAAACTAATTTTGATGGAACTTTTAAGATCCATATTAAYTTGCTTAGAATCCGAAGTTTTGAAAGATTCTGAATTATACCACATGTAGAATGTATTTTTTGAAATTGTGTGCCGGAGCGAAGTTGTTGAAGACGGAAATTATAGCGAGTTTGACGGACCTCTAAAAAAATAAATAATTAACCCATGAGCCTAAAATTGCTTGAAAATGTTCAAGAATAGTTGAAGAACGAATATCTCAATTTTAAAAGGTTGAAAAATGTGTTGCGACTTTACAGGATAACGTTAAAGACACCCCTAAAATGGCTTTCATTTCTAGCCGTCTTGAGCCCGAGATCCGACGGACCGGTTTTTCGATTTTTCTCAGCGATAATTTTTTTTTTGAAGAAATAAAACCCACCACGTTTACTTACTCACTAATACCTAACTCTGGACCAAAAATAAAGAAAATCGATTTTTTACTGTTGCCGCCGATTCTTTATTTGGCTCGATATTAGTGGACAGTCGCTCTTAAACTGATCTGCGCATAATCTTTACGCAGACGCTCGCAAGCGCAAAATTGAGCACTCGAGTGTTACTCGTCAGCGTCAGAGCTGGGGATCTTTGAAGTCAAAAACTAGAGGAAAAGTTTTCACCTCAGTTTCCATGACCGACCATACCTATGGATGACAAGTAAGTTGTGAATCTACTGAAGTCTTTTCAAAATTTAACGAATATCTTTAACCCGTGGTATCTCTGGTCGGTTTTTCCCATTCATTAAAAATTAACTTCTAAATTCCACATTCAATGTTTAATTGAGCTTTGATTGCATGCTATCTCTGTCGTAATTTATGCTTGCTCTGTTTATGTGATATGAGAAGAAGTGAAAATAAGATTTATTTTAGTTTGATTTGTTTGATTTTATTCATTTTAGTTTCTACTCGAACAAGCGGTGAATCCTAAATCTACTAAACTCGATTGTAGCTGTAGTAAATAGTGTAGTCAGTGAAGCAAAATACTATGCCACGCTACTAACAATACTTTTAATATTGAGATTAGTCTTATAAATACATAGACTATTCTTAAGCTTGTCAATTAATAGCTTTAAAATGACATTTTTCAGTACGTATCCCTGGAGAGAGAGACGGCATGCTACCGTAAAATCCTGGTTATAAGCCTATTGAACAAATCTATTTTTTCTCACGTTTATGGCGTCGATGACACTTGAAAAACAATACATGAAATAACCCGTTTTGTCTTTATCCCACGTTCTTGTTCTTTCCGTTCATAACTCTCCCAAGAGACCATGTTCTCAAGATCCCCCTGAGTATTAGCCCACCCGGTTATAAACCCATGAAAAAAACGTTAACGACTGATTGCAGGGCAAGACAGTTTGCAGGGCTTTGGCAGGATTTTACGGTACTTTGACCCGTGTTGCGATTCCATTTGTTATAGAATCCTAAAGAATTTTGCATGACATGTAACTACTAGTTATTTTACTCTTAAAAAGTTAACTTTTTCTCTGCTAGACTACCAGTTCTCAAAGGCATCCCCCGCGAAATACTATATATGTGAAAAGCAGAAAAACCTCATTATAAAACATTACTTTGGAGCTATCTTTTCGAGCTCTTTTACGAGTTACACAAGGTAATAAATCGGCTAACAATATCCTGGTATTAAATGTAGTGAGGCCAAAGGTTATTTTATCAAGTGGTCTGGAAGAACTGTGAGACAATAGTCGATGTAAAAATAGAATGAGATGGTCTTGTCATCGTGATACAGTGGTGCTTCTAACAAGCCTTCTAACGAGCCGATCATTTTTACCGCCAAATCAAGGTGACCTAAAAAGACAAACAAAAATTTTAGTCTGGACGAGAAGAGGTCAGCTCCGCGACATATATATAATGATTAGCTGAATATCAAAATGGCGCAAAGGATGGCTGCTTTGGTTCCGCGTATGTTGCATACCAAAACTGAAATGCACTATGGGCGTTGTGAATGTAATCAGCGAAAGGTCACAACGATGTGGGACTTTCCCAAACTTTGTCTGCATGCGCGTTTTTCTGATATACATGTTATGTCTGCTTAAATTCCTTACATATAAATATGATACTGTTGCGGGCTTGGTATATCATCATCGCGCGTTTTGTCAAGTTGAAGCAATGATAAACGCAGGAGCTACGAAATAATTTGCTGTTCCCACACGCTCATGTCCCCCTTTACATACCTCACCGCATTGGATATTTCTCTTGGACTGTTCGAACCGAGTCGGATCAGCGTATAATCAGTTCACGTTGTTGTTGCGCGCCTTCACTATCAAGGGGATCAGGGCAGCTGGTGGTGGGGCTTTGATCAGAAACGGATGCGTTAGAAGCATATACGAGTGCCATCGATGTTTCTGGCGAAGCTTAAGAGTATTGCTTATGAATTCAACTGCTTCTTGTGAATAAGAGTTTTGATTGGTTAATAGCCTGATCCCCTGAGACGCATTTCTTTTCATTGCCCGATCGTAGCTTAGACTGCAATGCGGTACAGTGCCTTGTAGTAGTTCAATTAGGCTTATACCCGTCGCCCATACGTCAACCTATCACAGATAAAAAGTACAATTATATGTATTTAGTGTTGAGAACTTTCTGTTAGTACTCCAAGAAATTAAATAGTCTTCCGCAAGAGTAAGCTGCAGGTCATAATTAAGTGAACATAACTAAAGGTTTTATTATTCACTGGGATATTGTGAATATAAGGATAAAGCCGAGTGCTATCTTGTCAACAAAAATCTTGAAAGTGAGCATTTTGATCAATATCATTAACATTGTGAAAATACATTAGTTTTTTTTCTTATATTATTGCGTAAAATACGACGCTTGATTTGTTGGTTCACGAGATCCCAGTTTAAAGTTACTTTTACTCCATAAGGCTTGCGGGAAACGAGTTCAGGCGCCATGTAATGAGGTGTGCCTTGCCGTAAGTGTTTGTATTTGCGTAGATCTTCCTCCTTCATGCTTAACCCAAAGTCCGTGATCTTTATTTGTCCAGATAAAGTGTAAAGGATGTTGGGACATTTTATATCACCATGAAGAATTTGTAAACTGTGGATATATTCCAAGCCACTGAAAATTTGTTTGGCGATACAGGAAATGTCGTTTTCTGTAACTGCTTTTGTGCGAGCTAGTCGATAAATGGGACCACCGCTAATGTATTCCAGTACAAGATTAAAGTTTTCGCCCTCAGGATAATAGTTCTCCATTTTTACTATGTTCAGATGGCTCAATTGTTTGTGTATGTTTGCTTCTCTTGGTACTAGGTTTTCGGAAAATCGTTTGACTTTCTTAGATTGAATTTCTTTGATGGCTACGATTTTGTTAGTTGTCCAGTCTAGGGCTTTATATACTTTGCCAAATCCACCTTTTCCTATTTCAACTTTGTTGGTAAATCGGTGAGGTAGTGGTACATGCCCTTGAACCAAAGTCTGAAAACATCAAACCACACCGTCAAAATGCAAACTAGTTTTAAAATAAAGCATCCTAGGTTTATGAGGTTAATAATACGTTTGGAGCAAAACCCATTTTCAGAACATCGGTAACTCGCGTGAACATATCACATAACTATTAGGTTTTTAGTTTTCTACAGCGTTAGGTTGGAGATGGGACAGGGTCCCCTTGCCCTCCTGGTTACGCCCCTGTAACGATCCTTATACCTTGTAAACACTTTAAAAATTAAAGTACTGTAAGATGTACTCAATCTGTTGTATATCATGTACTCACCGACAGATCTCGTACAGCTTTATTAGATGTAGAATAGGATATATTATTGGCTTTGTCCTTTTGGGAACAATCCATTGCCTCATCAACCTGTTTGGACTGTTTCGATCCCACGGATGTTTGGCGGAGAGACAGGCTTGTAGGCAAAGAGGTGGTAGCCTTGATAAGTAATAAGTCTTTTCCAGCATGACTTTTCTTTTCAGTTTTCGCACGGCTACTTCTGCTGTAAAAAGTAGAGTAAATTGTTAACCACATGAAACTTTATTTAATTTTCACTTTAATTACTTTTTTCAGATTATAAAAGTTTTTTGTTTTTGCCATTGCACAGAATACAACGAAACTGAACAGTGTTCAACATCAACAGGGTTGATAGAACCTGTCATGTTTGGCCAACACTTTATTTAACACTGAAATGATTTTCCTTTGCTTTTATGAATTGATTGTGGCTCAGTTGTTTATGTACGGAATACTAAGGGGACAGATGGAGCTTGTTCTATTTATTAATGCTAGCATCCAGTCCTTAGTAAATATCTGGTCCACCTAAAGTCTCCTAAACGTATACCCTACTACCATGTAAAGCCAATAACATGATACTCTACTCCGACTATCGATACTTATGTCGAAAGACTATTGCTAATGGACTACTTCTTCGACGATACGGCGTCCACGAGGCAAAACGAAACAAAGATGACAGAAAATATATAGATCGTCGTGTTTGTCTTTCCGTTTATGGGTAAAGGTGATCGATATGTGCCGCCTTAATTCGTTTCTTTTGTATTCTCTTGTGAACAACATTACTGTAACAAAGCTTTAGTTGCCCCCATGGACGATCCATAATGCCTTGCGATTCAAGATGGCCGCCGCATCGTGGAAGTATTCCATTATCATAACTTAATGCAAACGTAAGTCAGGTGTAATACTTACCGTTTAATCCAATACATTGCAATGATGACAAATAGAATCATACAGGGTAGAAGTGCAAGCACAGGCGAAAACGATCGTTGAGGAACCACCCTCAGTGATAAAGCGGTACAGTTATTTACCGTGTTAATATTTTTTAACACAGGGGGAGGAGAATACAATCTACAGACTTTGGTACCTGTGTTTTAAAAAGAAAAGTTACAGGTTTTAAAAAAGCAAAGAACTATATGCTATTATAAGCCTTGGAAAGCGCATGCACAGCCTTTAAAATAGTATCGCATGCCTATGTTCATAGAAAGCTATAATTACTACCTTCTCTTGATGACATTGAATCAAACATCGTTGATTTTCTATGTATTTGGAAGTTTGAAAAAACATTTTTGAGCTTTAGTTGTGGTTCTTGATCTACCTTCTTTTTAGAAAAAGAGTGACCTGTAACAAAAACAAAAAGCTTGATTAATTTAACGGAGGTCGAAAAAATCAAATTAAAAAGCTGCCAGGAATAATTCTAACCTTTTAGAATAACTGCTATTTCTGTTGAATTATTTGTTTGCTGTGAAGCTGTAATAAGATTGGATCCTGTGGTAAAGAGAAAACGGAATTCGGTTTTAGCAGCAGCTGACTTCCAACTGTCTCTTCCAACTGAATACAAATATTTTCTCACCCAACGTACCATTTCTCTGGAATGCAATCCGGTCGAACCGTAAAAGATCATAATCTGGAAAATAAAACTTGACAACAATCAGGCCCGTGAATCCGGAAACAAAAATAGCCGATAAAATAAGGAAGATCATTTTTTTTCGATTAGCGCTTCCAAATGCAAGTTATCGTATTTGATTTCTTTGTAATTAGAAACAATTATATTGTGACGTATTCGATAATTGCGTGATGTCATAGATGATCACGAAATGTAGGGAAACGACAAAAATGATATGAATGACGTTTATGATCGATAGACGAAATAAAAAGTACTGCAAAACTTACAGAAATATTTGAAACAAATGACCATTTATGTAACATGTATTTATTAATATCAAAGATCCATGATATATTACACGAGATTTAGTGCGCGCGAGCCTGTGTGCGTGTAGACTCGGACCCAGATTCTTCCTGCTTGTTGTCGTCAGAGCCTTGTAAGACAATCTTATCAGCGCCAGCCCGCTGATCAAAAAGCTGAAGACTCGGGGTTAGATTGATATTGAACTGAAATATTTAAAAAATAAAGCTAAAGTAAAATTTTGAATTAATATGAAAAAAATATTGATGATGTTGTGAGTCCGAAGGTGCGAATCTCCAAAGAAGGTCTGTTACGTTTGTGTATTCATTTTTATAGAAAATAATAATTTGAACAAAATAATGGCAAAATCAAAATAGTGAGTAGACATTGCTCAATTTGGGTTTCTTAATCCAACCCCTAGCTTCCTATGGTCCCCACTTCTCCGTTCCCAGTCAACCTCAATGATCCGCACTCTCGAATTGGGCTACCTTTGTAGTTGGTACCAGGATTGGCCGTGAATAATATTACATGATTTAGAAAATGGCGGATGAAAGGGAAGAAAATATAAGTCAAACTCGAACTGATTTAGTCCAGTAAAATACATTTATTTAGATAATAATAACAAGGATCTTCTTTACAAAGTCTTTAACACTGATGAAGAACTACTGTTTCTTGCATATTTCTATATTTTTTGCACTTTTAGTTCAAAGCAAATTTGATTCTTGTGTTTTGTATAATCCGTTCTCATGGAATCCGTTTAAAGACCAAGGTACGTTACGAAAATAGAATATTTTTGGTCCATTCATTCACATTTTGATATCAAAGTTTTAAAATTTAGCCACTCTTTTTAATATTTTAAGTAATCATTTTTGCTATTTTTAAGATTTCATTCGTTCACTCGTTCATTTGTTCATTTGTTCATTCATTCATTCATTCGTTCACCTTAATTATCCATTTCTTGATTCACCGATTTTCATAGATGTCCTTGATTTTTACTAATATATAGTTTATTATTTTTTTGTAAATTACATTTTCAGATAAATTCTGTCTATTATCCAAGGAGAATTTGAAACCAAAGTACATTGAATTATCCAAATTTCCTAAAATTCACCTGTATAAAAGCTGCATATCAGAAAAGCAAAGAAAAGAGCTATTAAGCCTTGCAGCTCAAAGACTTTCATCTGAAACAGACAGTGGCTTTTCATCCTCATTGTATCTAAGAGATACAGGTGATGCAGAATTACCAATTTTAAAAGAAATTGCAAAATTAGCTGGAAACTTATCTGGACTACCATGGAATAATGCAGAACCTATTTCATTGACCAAGTATACATTGAAGCAAAACTATGGTCTTCACTACGATTCAGGTTTCTTAATGAATGGCAAAAGGACCAACAGAAAAGCAACAGTTTTGCTGTATTTGAATAATGTTAAAAAAGGAGGAGAAACAGTATTTCCATTTGCCACAAATCAAACAGATTCTATAGAACATAACCAGGTGGAAAGGAAACCTATTCAAGAAGTGTGTGCAAGTGAAAGAGGAGTAAAGATACCTCCAGTACTTGGCTCATGTGTTGTATTCTATAGTCATTTAGATGAGGCATCTCAAGTAGATCCCTTGTCATTACATGGTTCCTGTCCAGTTCTCTCTGGTGAAAAGTGGATTGCACAAATGTGGGTTCGTGGAAAAATAGAAAATGAGAAGGATACTTTCTGGAAAGATTAATTAATCAATTTTAATTGTAATATTTATTGAAATAAATAATTTTTGATAGCTAGGGGCAGAATGCATGTTGGAAGTTGAACATGTTTCTCACAAAGTTTACGAAAAATAAAAAAATAAAAATTTTTACTTAAAGTTCAATAAAATTACAAATTAATTAGAAATTATGATCAATATTAAATGCTACATCTAATTGGATTTACCACTTTGTATATAGTGGACGGAAAAACAAATGGGTTTTGCAAGGCTATCGATAGATAGGATTAGGATTTAGAAGTTGATTTTTGTGGAGGGAGTAAAAACTGAAGAACCTAGATGGAGAAAAAACTCTTGAAGCTACAGAATAGAACCAACAAACAATCCAGCTACATATACTCATATACAACACCAAGCCTGGTGGGACTCAAACCTGGGTTGTCTCTCTTTCTTTTTTTTTTTTTTTGGAAAATTCGAAATTTTACGAAGATTGGATAGGTGGAATGCTATGGCCTTTTGTCACCCCCCCTCCCCCCTACCCCTTGTCCAAAAATCATGCTACCAAGTACTTATTGTAGTAAGGGCCTTTTCCAACAAACTAAAGAATAACTGGGAAATGCCACTTGTGGTTTGAAATAGAAAAACTTGATTTTGGCAAAAAATAACAATTTCTTTGTTTCCCCCATTCTATTTGTCTCTTAAGCCTGATTTTGTATCATTCTCTTTGTTCAGCAGAAAAACCGTTCGTGAATGTAGCTGATTTTGCTCGTGCCCAGATGCTATTACCTACCCGACCCACCCGACCCTCAACGCAGATAGATGATTGAAACCACAGGGTACCCAAATGCATTGAAACAACAGGTCGGCCAAATCCAAGATGGCTTCCAGTCGACTGTTATCAAGTCAGGGTGCTCGAAGAAGTTTTCGTGTACTTTTACGGCCTCTCTCTACAAAATCCTCAACTAAAACGGTTGTAAAACTTCGCCCTGATCCCTATGATTACGCACATGAATCAATATACACTGCTGAACACGCTGAGTTAAGAGAAGCCTTCGGAAAGTTTATCGATAAAGAAATTAACCCGTTTGTAGATGAATGGGAAAAGGCCAAAATGTTCCCTGCTCACAAACTATTCAAGAAACTTGGTACTGCTGGTTATCTGGGGGTTAATAAACCAGTAGAGTGTGGTGGGCAAGGATTGGACTATTCTTACAGCGTTGCTATTATAGAAGAACTAGGTACGCCAAAACTAGTACGACAAATATGTTATGCAATGACTTACTAGTACTTTTACTTACTAGTATACGATGTACTAGTTTTTCATATATTCTTTTTTCCTTATGAGCAAATTAGGACCGTTGAGGACCTTCGAATTCTTGGAGGGGGG